ACTCACTCACTCACCCACTCACCCACTCACTCACCCACTCACTCACTCACCCACTCACCCACTCACTCACCCACTCACCCACTCACTCACTCACTCACCCACTCACTCACTCACCCACTCACCCACTCACTCACCCACTCACTCACCCACTCACCCACTCACTCACCCACTCACTCACTTACCCACTCACCCACCCACCCACTCACTCACCCACTCACTCACCCACCGACTCACCCACCCACCCACTCACCCACCCACTCACCCACTCACTCACTCACTCACCCACTCACTCACCCACTCACCCACTCACCCACTCACTCACCCACTCACTCACCCACTCACCCACTCACTCACCCACTCACTCACTTACCCACTCACCCACCCACCCACTCACTCACCCACTCACTCACCCACCGACTCACCCACCCACCCACTCACCCACCCACTCACTCACCCACTCACTCACCCACTCACCCACTCACTCACTCACTCACCCACTCACTCACCCACTCACCCACTCACCCACTCACTCACCCACTCACTCACCCACTCACCCACTCACTCACCCACTCACTCACTTACTCACTCACCCACCCACCCACTCACTCACTCACCCACTCACTCACCCACTCACTCACCCACTCACTCACTCACCCACTCACCCACCCACTCACCCACCCACTCACCCCTTGTCCACCCCCAGCGGTGAGTGGGCGTCTGGGTGAGCTGCTGGTGAGGAGGGTGAGGCACGTCCTCACCGAGATGCTGAGGGTGGATCTCACCGTCCTCACCAGCAGCTCACCCACTCACTCACTCACTCACCCACTCACTCACCCACTCACCCACCCACTCACTCACTCACCCACTCACCCACTCACTCACTCACTCACCCACTCACCCACTCACCCACCCACTCACCCACTCACCCACCCACTCACTCACTCACTCACCCACTCACCCACTCACCCACTCACTCACTCACCCACTCACCCACCCACTCACCCACTCACTCACCCACTCACCCCTTGTCCACCCCCAGCGGTGAGTGAGCGTCTGGGTGAGCTGCTGGTGAGGAGGGTGAGGCACGTCCTCACCGAGATGCTGAGGGTGGATCTCAGCGTCCTCACCAGCAGCTCACCCACCCACTCACCCACTCACTCACTCACTCACCCACTCACCCACCCACCCACTCACCCACCCAATCACCCACTCACTCACCCACTCACTCACTCACCCACTCACCCACTCACCCACCCACCCACTCACCCACTCACTCACCCACTCACCCACCCACTCACCCCTTGTCCACCCCCAGCGGTGAGTGAGCGTCTGGGTGAGCTGCTGGTGAGGAGGGTGAGGCACGTCCTCACCGAGATGCTGAGGGTGGATCTCACCGTCCTCACCAGCAGCTCACCCACTCACTCACCCACTCACCCACTCACTCACCCACTCACCCACTCACTCACTCACCCACTCACTCACCCACTCACTCACCCACTCACCCACTCACTCACCCACTCACCCACTCACCCACCCACTCACCCACTCACCCACTCACTCACCCACCCACTCACTCACTCACCCACTCACCCACCCACTCACCCACTCACTCACTCACCCACCCACCCACCCACTCACTCACCCACTCACTCACTCACTCACCCACTCACTCACTCACTCACCCACTCACCCACTCACTCACCCACTCACCCACTCACTCACCCACCCACTCACTCACCCACTCACTCACTCACCCACTCACCCACCCACTCACCCACTCACTCACTCACCCACTCACCCACTCACCCACCCACTCACCCACTCACTCACTCACTCACCCACCCACCCACTCACTCACCCACTCACTCACACACTCACTCACTCACTCACCCACTCACTCACCCACTCACCCACTCACTCACCCACTCACTCACCCACTCACCCACCCACTCACTCACCCACTCACCCACCCACTCACTCACCCACCCACTCACTCACTCACCCACCCACTCACCCACTCACCCACCGACTCACCCACTCACCCCTTGTCCACCCCCAGCGGTGAGTGAGCGTCTGGGTGAGCTGCTGGTGAGGAGGGTGAGGCACGTCCTCACCGAGATGCTGAGGGTGGATCTCAGCGTCATCACCAGCAGCTCACCCACCCACCCACCCACTCACTCACCCACTCACCCACTCACTCACCCACTCACCCACTCACCCACTCACTCACCCACTCACTCACCCACCCACTCACTCACCCACTCACTCACCCACCCACCCACTCACTCACTCACTCACCCACTCACTCACTCACTCACGCACCCACCCACTCACTCACCCACTCACTCACCCACTCACCCACCCACTCACCCACTCACTCACCCACTCAGTCACCCACTCACCCACTCACTCACCCACCCACTCACTCACCCACTCACTCACCCACCCACTCACTCACCCACTCACTCACCCACTCACTCACTCACCCACTCACCCACCCACTCACCCACTCACCCCTTGTCCACCCCCAGCGGTGAGTGAGCGTCTGGGTGAGCTGCTGGTGAGGAGGGTGAGGCACGTCCTCACCGAGATGCTGAGGGTGGATCTCAGCGTCATCACCAGCAGCTCACCCACTCACTCACCAACTCACCCACTCACTCACTCACCCACCCACCCACTCACTCACTCACTCACCCACCCACTCACTCACCCACTCACACACCCACTCACCCACCCACCCACTCACCCACTCACCCACTCACCCACCCACTCACTCACTCACCCACCCACTCACCCACTCACCCGCTCACTCACCCACTCACTCACCCACTCACCCACTCACTCACCCACCCACCCACTCACTCACCACCCACTCACTCACCCACTCACCCACCCACCCACTCACTCACTCACCCACTCACCCACCCACTCACTCACTCACCCACTCACCCACTCACCCACCCACTCACTCACTCACCCACTCACCCACTCACTCACTCACCCACTCACCCACCCACTCACCCCTTGTCCACCCCCAGCGGTGAGTGAGCGTCTGGGTGAGCTGCTGGTGAGGAGGGTGAGGCACGTCCTCACCGAGATGCTGAGGGTGGATCTCACCGTCCTCACCAGCAGCTCACCCACCCACTCACCCACCCACTCACTCACCCACTCACTCACTCACTCACCCACTCACCCACCCACTCACCCACCCACCCACCCACTCACTCACTCACTCACCCACTCACTCACTCACCCACCCACCCACTCACTCACTCACTCACCCACCCACTCACCCACTCACCCACCCACTCACCCACCCACCCACTCACCCACCCACCCACTCACTCACTCACCCACTCACCCACTCACTCACTCACCCACTCACCCACCCACCCACTCACTCACCCACCGACTCACCCCTTGTCCACCCCCAGCGGTGAGTGGGCGGGTGAGTGAGCTGCTGGTGAGGAGGGTGAGGCACGTCCTCACCGAGATGCTGAGGGTGGATCTCACCGTCCTCACCAGCAGCTCACTCACCCACTCACCCACTCACCCACTCACTCACCCACCCACCCACTCACTCACCCACCCACTCACTCACTCACTCACCCACCCACTCACTCACTCACTCACCCACCCACTCACCCACTCACCCACCCACTCACTCACCCACCCACTCACCCACTCACCCACTCACTCACCCACTCACTCACCCACTCACTCACCCATTCACCCACCCACCCACTCACTCACCCACTCACTCACCCACTCACCCACTCACCCACTCACTCACTCACCCACTCACTCACCCACCCACTCACTCACTCACCCACTCACCCACTCACTCACCCACCCACCCACTCACCCACTCACCCCTTGTCCACCCCCAGCGGTGAGTGAGCGTCTGGGTGAGCTGCTGGTGAGGAGGGTGAGGCACGTCCTCACCGAGATGCTGAGGGTGGATCTCACCGTCCTCACCAGCAGCTCACTCACCCACTCACCCACTCACCCACTCACTCACCCACCCACCCACTCACTCACCCACCCACTCACTCACTCACTCACCCACCCACTCACTCACTCACTCACCCACCCACTCACCCACTCACCCACCCACTCACTCACCCACCCACTCACCCACTCACCCACTCACTCACCCACTCACTCACCCACTCACTCACCCATTCACCCACCCACCCACTCACTCACCCACTCACTCACCCACTCACCCACTCACCCACTCACTCACTCACCCACCCACTCACCCACCCACTCACCCACCGACTCACCCACTCACCCACTCACTCACCCACACACTCACCCCTTGTCCACCCCCAGCGGTGAGTGGGCGGGTGAGTGAGCTGCTGGTGAGGAGGGTGAGGCACGTCCTCACCGAGATGCTGAGGGTGGATCTCACCGTCCTCACCAGCAGCTCACCCACTCACTCACTCACTCACCCACTCACCCACTCACTCACTCACCCACCCACTCACCCACTCACTCACCCACTCACCCACCCACCCACCCACCCACCCACCCACCCACTCACCCCTTGTCCACCCCCAGCGGTGAGTGGGCGGGTGAGTGAGCTGCTGGTGAGGAGGGTGAGGCACGTCCTCACCGAGATGCTGAGGGTGGATCTCACCGTCCTCACCAGCAGCTCACCCACTCACTCACTCACCCACTCACCCACTCACTCACTCACTCACCCACTCACCCACCCACCCACCCACCCACCCACTCACCCACTCACCCACCCACCCACCCACCCACTCACTCACCCACTCACTCACCCACTCACCCACTCACTCACTCACCCACTCACTCACTCACCCACTCACTCACTCACTCACCCACCCACCCACCCACCCACTCACTCACCCACTCACTCACTCACCCACTCACTCACCCACTCACCCACCCACTCACTCACCCACTCACCCACTCACTCACCCACTCACTCACCCACCCACCCACCCACTCACCCACTCACCCACCCACCCACTCACCCCTTGTCCACCCCCAGCGGTGAGTGAGCGTCTGGGTGAGCTGCTGGTGAGGAGGGTGAGGCACGTCCTCACCGAGATGCTGAGGGTGGATCTCAGCGTCCTCACCAGCAGCTCACCCACTCACTCACTCACTCACTCACCCACCCACTCACTCACCCACTCACCCACCCACTCACTCACCCACTCACCCACCCACTCACCCCTTGTCCACCCCCAGCGGTGAGTGGGCGGGTGAGTGAGCTGCTGGTGAGGAGGGTGAGGCACGTCCTCACCGAGATGCTGAGGGTGGATCTCAGCGTCCTCACCAGCAGCTCACCCACTCACTCACCCACTCACTCACCCACCCACTCACCCACCCACTCACCCACTCACTCACCCACCCACTCACCCACCCACTCACTCACCCACCCACTCACCCACCCACTCACCCACCCACACACTCACCCACCCACCCACCCACTCACCCCTTGTCCACCCCCAGCGGTGAGTGGGCGGGTGAGTGAGCTGCTGGTGAGGAGGGTGAGGCACGTCCTCACCGAGATGCTGAGGGTGGATCTCACCGTCCTCACCAGCAGCTCACCCACTCACTCACTCACTCACCCACCCACTCACCCACCCACTCACCCACTCACTCACCTACCCACTCACTCACTCACTCACCCACTCACCCACTCACTCACCCACCCACCCACCCACCCACTCACCCCTTGTCCACCCCCAGCGGTGAGTGGGCGGGTGAGTGAGCTGCTGGTGAGGAGGGTGAGGCACGTCCTCACCGAGATGCTGAGGGTGGATCTCAGCGTCCTCGCCCTCCGTGCCGGGGACTTCGGCAGGGTCGGCGAGCTCATGGCGGCCAGCCACGCGTCGCTACGGTAACGGACGCCCCCCGTCGCCACGGCAACGGACGCGCCCCGTCGCCACGGTAACTAGCCGTCGCCGTGCCCCGGCGACGGCTAGTTACCGTGGCGACGGTTGTTGTCGTGGTGACGGTTGTTGTCGTGGTGACGGTTGTTGTCGTGGTGACGGTTGTTGTCGTGGTGACGGTTGTTGTCGTGGTGACGGTTGTTGTCGTGGTGACGGTTGTTGTGGTGGTGACGGTTGTTGTCGTGGTGACGGTTGTTGTCATGGTGACGGTTGTTGTCGTGGTGACGGTTGTTGTCGTGGTGACGGTTGTTGTCATGGTGACGGTTGTTGTCGTGGTGACGGTTGTTGTCGTGGTGACGGTTGTTGTGGTGGTGACGGTTGTTGTGGTGATGGTTGTCGTGGTGACGGTTGTTGTCGTGATGACGGTTGTTGTCGTGGTGATGGTTGTTGTCATGGTGACGGTTGTTGTCGTGGTGACGGTTGTTGTCGTGGTGACGGTTGTTGTCGTGGCGACGGTTGTTGTTGTGGTGACGGTTGTTGTCGTGGTGACGGTTGTTGTCGTGGTGACGGTTGTTGTCGTGGTGACGGTTGTTGTCGTGGCGACGGTTGTTGTTGTGGTGACGGTTGTTGTCGTGGTGACGGTTGTTGTCGTGGCGACCGTTGTAGTGGTGACGGTTGTTGTCGTGGTGACGGTTGTTGTCGTGGCGATGGTTGTTGTCGTGGTGACGGTTGTTGTCGTGGTGACGGTTGTTGTCGTGGTGACCGTTGTTGTGGTGGTGACGGTTGTTGTCGTGGTGACGGTTGTTGTCATGGTGACGGTTGTTGTCGTGGTGACGGTTGTTGTCGTGGTGACGGTTGTTGTCATGGTGACGGTTGTTGTCGTGGTGACGGTTGTTGTCGTGGTGACGGTTGTTGTGGTGGTGACGGTTGTTGTGGTGATGGTTGTCGTGGTGACGGTTGTTGTCGTGATGACGGTTGTTGTCGTGGTGATGGTTGTTGTCATGGTGACGGTTGTTGTCGTGGTGACGGTTGTTGTCGTGGTGACGGTTGTTGTCGTGGCGACGGTTGTTGTTGTGGTGACGGTTGTTGTCGTGGTGACGGTTGTTGTCGTGGCGACCGTTGTAGTGGTGACGGTTGTTGTCGTGGTGACGGTTGTTGTCGTGGCGATGGTTGTTGTCGTGGTGACGGTTGTTGTCGTGGTGACGGTTGTTGTCGTGGTGACCGTTGTTGTGGTGGTGACGGTTGTTGTCGTGGTGACGGTTGTTGTCGTGGTGACGGTTGTTGTCGTGGTGACGGTTGTTGTCGTGGCGACGGTTGTTGTCGTGGTGACGGTTGTTGTCGTGGCGACGGTTGTTGTCGTGGTGACGGTTGTTGTCGTGGTGACGGTTGTTGTCGTGGTGACGGTTGTTGCCGTGGCGACGGTTGTTGTCGTGGCGACCGTTGTTGTCGTGGTGACGGTTTGTCGTCTCCGTGGCGACGGTTGCCCCAGCGACGACTACGAGGTGAGCTGCCCCGAGGCGGACCAGCTGGTGCGGCTGTCCTCCGCCTGTCCCGGCGTGCTGGGCGCTCGCCTCACAGGCGGAGGCTTCGGCGGCTGCGTCGTCGCCATGGTTACCGGCTGCACGCGCCTGGAGGCGGAGCAGAACCTCCAAGGCCTCGTCCGGCACGTCCAGGTAACCGTGGCAACGGCGGCAGCCGTGGCAACCGTTGCGGCCGTAGCAACGGCGGCCGTAGCAACCGTCGCAGCCGTAGCAACGGCAGCCGTAGCAACGGCGGCCGTAGCAACGGCGGCCGTAGCAACCGCAGCAGCCGTAGCAACGGCAGCCGTAGCAACGGCAGCCGTAGCAACGGCAGCCGTAGCAACGGCAGCCTTAGCAACCGTAGCAGCCGTAGCAACGGCAGCCGTAGCAACGGCAGCCGTAGCAACGGCAGCCTTAGCAACGGCAGCCGTAGCAACGGCGGCCGTAGCAACCGTAGCAGCCGTAGCAACGGCAGCCGTAGCAACGGCAGCCGTAGCAACGGCAGCCTTAGCAACGGCAGCCGTAGCAACGGCGGCCGTAGCAACGGCAGCCTTAGCAACAGCAGCCTTAGCAACGGCAGCCGTAGCAACGGCGGCCGTAGCAACGGCAGCCTTAGCAACGGCAGCCTTAGCAACGGCAGCCGTAGCAACGGCGGCCGTAGCAACTGTAGCAGCCGTAGCAACGGCAGCAATCGCGGCCCTAGCAACGGCAGCGGCCGTGCCAACGGCAGCCGTAGTAGCCATAGCAACGGCAGCCGTAGCAACCGCAGTCGCCATGGCAACGGCCGCCGTAGCAACGGCAGTAGCGGTAGCAACGGCACCCGAAATAGCTGTAGCAATGGCGGCCGTAGTACCCGTAGCAGCCATAGCAACTGTAGTAACCGTAGCAACGGTAGCCATAGCAACGGTAGCCTTAGCAACGGCAGCCATGGTGACGGCAGCCGTAGTAGCCATAGCAACGGGAGCCGTAGCAAAGGAAGCCGTAGGAGTCGTAGCAACGCACCCATAGCAACCGTAGTAGCCGTGGCAACGGTAGCCATAGCAACGGCAGCCATAGCAAAGGAAGCCTTAGGAGTCGTAGCAACGGCACCCGTAGCAACGGTAGTAGCCGTGGCAACGGTAGTAGCCGTAGCAACGGTAGTAGCCGTGGCAACGGTAGTAGCCGTGGCAACGGTAGTAGCCGTGGCAACGGTAGTAGCCGTGGCAACGGTAGTAGCCGTAGCAACGGTAGTAGCCGTGGCAACGGTAGTAGCCGTGGCAACGGTAGTAGCCGTGGCAACGGTAGTAGCCGTGGCAACGGCAGTAGCCGTGGCAACGGCAGTAGCCGTGGCAACGGTAGTAGCAATGGCGGCCATAGCAACGTGGTGGGTGGTTATGGTGGTGGTTGTTGATAGTTGTTGTGGTTGTTGTGGTTGTTGTTGATAGTTGTTGTTGATAGTTGTTAGTTGTTGATAGTTGTTGTGGTTGTTGTTGTTGATAGTTGTTGTTGATAGTTGTGGTTGATAGTTGTTGTTGATAGTTGTTGTTAGTTGTTGATAGTTGTTGTTGTTGATAGTTGTTGATAGTTGTTGTTGTTGATAGTTGTTGTTGATAGTTGTTGTGGTCGTTGATAGTTGTTGATAGTTGTTGATAGTTGTTGTTGTTGATAGTTGTTGTTAGTTGTTGTTGTTGATAGTTGTTGTTGTTGTTAGTTGTTGATAGTTGTTGTGGTTGTTGTTGATAGTTGTTGTTGATAGTTGTTGTTGATAGTTGTTGTTAGTTGTTGATAGTTGTTGTTGTTGATAGTTGTTGATAGTTGTTGTTGTTGATAGTTGTTGTTGATAGTTGTTGTGGTCGTTGATAGTTGTTGATAGTTGTTGATAGTTGTTGTTGATAGTTGTTGTTGATAGTTGTTGTTAGTTGTTGTTGTTGATAGTTGTTGTTAGTTGTTGTTGTTGATAGTTGTTGTTGATAGTTGTTGTTGTTGATAGTTGTTGTTGTTGATAGTTGTTGTTGATAGTTGTTGTTGTTGATAGTTGTTGTTGATAGTTGTTGTTGTTGATAGTTGTTGTTGTTGTTGTTGTTGTTGATAGTTGTTGTTGATAGTTGTTGTTAGTTGTTGTTGTTGATAGTTGTTGTTGATAGTTGTTGTTGTTGATAGTTGTTGTTGTTGATAGTTGTTGTTGATAGTTGTTGTTGTTAGTTGTTGTTGATAGTTGTTGTTGTTGATAGTTGTTGTTGTTGTTGATTGTTGTTGTTGATAGTTGTTGTTTGTTGTTGTTGTTGATAGTTGTTGTTGTTGATAGTTGTTGTTGTTGATAGTTGTTGTTAGTTGTTGTTGTTGATAGTTGTTGTTGATAGTTGTTGTTGTTGATAGTTGTTGTTGTTGATAGTTGTTGTTGATAGTTGTTGTTGTTGATAGTTGTTGATAGTTGTTGTGGTTGTTGTTGATAGTTGTTGTTGATAGTTGTTGTTGATAGTTGTTGTTAGTTGTTGATAGTTGTTGTTGTTGATAGTTGTTGATAGTTGTTGTTGTTGATAGTTGTTGTTGATAGTTGTTGTGGTCGTTGATAGTTGTTGATAGTTGTTGATAGTTGTTGTTGATAGTTGTTGTTGATAGTTGTTGTTAGTTGTTGTTGTTGATAGTTGTTGTTAGTTGTTGTTGTTGATAGTTGTTGTTAGTTGTTGTTGTTGATAGTTGTTGTTGTTGTTGATAGTTGTTGTTAGTTGTTGTTGTTGATAGTTGTTGTTGATAGTTGTTGTTGATAGTTGTTGTTGTTGATAGTTGTTGTTGTTGATAGTTGTTGTTGATAGTTGTTGTTGTTAGTTGTTGTTGATAGTTGTTGTTGTTGATAGTTGTTGTTGTTGATAGTTGTTGTTAGTTGTTGTTGTTGATAGTTGTTGTTGATAGTTGTTGTTGTTGATAGTTGTTGTTGTTGATAGTTGTTGTTGATAGTTGTTGTTGTTGTTAGTTGTTGATAGTTGTTGTGGTTGTTGTTGATAGTTGTTGTTGATAGTTGTTGTTGATAGTTGTTGTTAGTTGTTGATAGTTGTTGTTGTTGATAGTTGTTGATAGTTGTTGTTGTTGATAGTTGTTGTTGATAGTTGTTGTGGTCGTTGATAGTTGTTGATAGTTGTTGATAGTTGTTGTTGATAGTTGTTGTTGATAGTTGTTGTTAGTTGTTGTTGTTGATAGTTGTTGTTAGTTGTTGTTGTTGATAGTTGTTGTTGTTGATAGTTGTTGTTGTTGATAGTTGCTGTTAGTTGTTGTTGATAGTTGTTGTTGTTGATAGTTGTTGTTGTTGATAGTTGTTGTTAGTTGTTGTTGTTGATAGTTGTTGTTGTTGATAGTTGTTGTTGTTGATAGTTGTTGTTAGTTGTTGTTGTTGATAGTTGTTGTTGATAGTTGTTGTTGTTGATAGTTGTTGTTGTTGATAGTTGTTGTTGATAGTTGTTGTTGATAGTTGTTGTTGATAGTTGTTGTTGTTGATAGTTGTTGTTGTTGTTGATTGTTGTTGTTGATAGTTGTTGTTTGTTGTTGTTGTTGATAGTTGTTGTTGTTGTTGTTGCTACAGGAGCACTACAGTGGGCAGGCCAAGTTTTACCGAGCAGTGCCAAGCGGTGGAGCTCACTCACTCAGCCTGTAGCACAACCACCACCACAACAACAACCACAACCACAACAACAACAACCACCACAACAACAACCACCACAACAACAACCACCACAACAACAACCACAACAACAACCACCACTACTCACTCAGCCTGTAGCACAACCACCACCACAACCACAACAACAACAACCACCACAACAACTACAACAACCACAACAACTACTCACTCAGCCTGTAGCACAACCACCACAACAACAACAACAACCACAACAACAACAACCACAACAACAACCACAACAACAACAACCACCACAACAACAACCACAACAACAACCACCACTACTCACTCAGCCTGTAGCACAACCACCACCACAACCACAACAACAACAACCACCACAACAACTACAACAACCACAACAACTACTCACTCAGCCTGTAGCACAACCACCACCACAACAACAACCACAACCACAACAACAACAACCACCACAACAACAACCACCACAACAACAACCACCACAACAACAACCACAACAACAACCACCACTACTCACTCAGCCTGTAGCACAACCACCACCACAACCACAACAACAACAACCACCACAACAACTACAACAACCACAACAACTACTCACTCAGCCTGTAGCACAACCACCACAACAACAACAACAACCACAACAACAACAACCACAACAACAACCACAACAACAACAACCACCACAACAACAACCACAACAACAACCACCACTACTCACTCAGCCTGTAGCACAACCACCACCACAACCACAACAACAACAACCACCACAACAACTACAACAACCACAACAACTACTCACTCAGCCTGTAGCACAACCACCACAACAACAACCACAACAACCACCACAACACCAACCACCACAACAACCACAACAACAACAACAACCACTACAACAACCACCACAACAACAACAACAACCACCACAACCACCACAACCACCACAACAACCACAACAACAACCACAACAACCACTACAACAACCACCACAACAACAACCACAACAACAACCACCACAACAACCACAACAACAACAACCACCACAACAACAACCACCACAACAACCACAACAACAACAACAAACACCACAACAACAACCACCACAACAACCACAACCACCACAACAACAACCACAACAACAACAACCACAACAACAACCACAACAACCACAACAACAACCACCACAACAACAACAACCACCACAACAACAACCACCACCACAACAACAACAACAACCACCACTACTCACTCAGCCTGTAGCACAACCACAACAACAACAACCACAACCACAACAACCACAACAACAACCACCACAACAACTACAACCACCACAACAACTACAACCACCACAACAACAACCACAACAACAACCACAACAACCACAACAACAACCACCACCACAACAACAACAACCACAACAACAACCACCACAACAACAACCACCACAACAACAACCACAACAACCACCACTACTCACTCAGCCTGTAGCACAACCACAACAACAACAACAACAACCACAACAACAACCACCACAACAACTACAACCACCACAACAACAACCACAACAACAACCACAACAACCACAACAACAACCACCACAACAACAACCACAACCACCACAACAACAACAACCACAACACCACAACAACAACAACCACCACAACAACCACAACACCACAACAACAACAACCACAACAACAACAACCACCACAACAACAACAACCACAACAACAACCAACACGACAACCACCACAATCGCAACAACCATAAAAAAATTGCGTGACGTCATACCCGTCCAATTGACGGAATGACGTCACTCCCCCACATGCCATGCGGTGACGTCCGTCCCGGGCAACCAATCGGATGACGTCACTCTCCCATGTGGGGGATGCGGTGAGGTCATCCCCGCGAAATTAGCCGGGCTGTGACGTCACTCAACCGGCCAATCAGACGCCAGCGACGTCCGCGCGTCGTCGACCGTGTCGATGACGTCACTCCCGCGTCGTTTGAGTGTGCGGCGACGTCACGCTCGCGTCGATTGAGTTGTGCGGTGACGTCATTTTTCAATTGGCCTCGTGGCCCTGGGGAGTTAATTAGTTAATTGTGACGGAGGCGGTGATTATGCAAATGAGCTGTGTTGATTGATGATTCATTGGCGGGGCGATTAAAGTCGCCAATGTAACGGAAGCCGTGAGTCATAATAATTATTAGTGTGGTGTGGGTGGGTTGGTGGGTGGGTGAGTGGGTGGTTGAGTGGGTGGGTGAGTGAGTGGGTGAGTGGGTGGGTGAGTAAGTGGGTGGGTGAGTGGGTGGGTGAGTGGGTGGGTGAGTGGGTGGGTGAGTGGGTGGGTGAGTGAGTGGGTGAGTGGGTGAGTGGGTGGGTGAGTGGGTGGGTGAGTGGGTGGGTGGGTGTGTGGGTGGGTGAGTGAGTGGGTGGGTGAGTGGGTGGGTGGGTGAGTGGGTAGGTGGGTGAGTGGGTGGCTGGGTGAGTGGGTGAGTGGGTGGCTGGGTGAGTGGGTGAGTGGGTGGCTGGGTGAGTGGGTGAGTGGGTGAGTGAGTCGGTGAGTGAATGGGTGGGTGGATGGGTGAGTGGGTGGGTGAGTGGGTGGGTGAGTGGGTGGGTGGGTGAGTGGGTGGGTGAGTGGGTGGGTGGGTGAGTGGGTAGGTGGGTGAGTGGGTGGCTGGGTGAGTGAGTCGGTGAGTGAATGGGTGGGTGGGTGAGTGGGTGAGTGAATGGGTGGGTGGATGGGTGAGTGGGTGAGTGAGTGAGTGGGTGGGTGAGTGGTGAGTGAGTGGGTGAGTGAGTGGGTGAGTGGGCGAGTGAGCGTGTGAGTGGGCGAGTGAGTGAGTGGGTGGGTGAGTGGGTGGGTGAGTGGGTGAATGAATGGGTGGGTGGGTGAGTGAGTGGGTGGGTGGGTGAGTGAGTGGGTGGGTGAGTGGGTGGGTGAGTGGGTGGGTGGGTGAGTGGGTGGGAGAGTGGGTGGGTGAGTGAGTGGGTGGGTGGGTGAGTGGGTGGGTGGGTGAGTGGATGGGTGGGTGAGTGGATGGGTGGGTGAGTGGATGGGTGAGTGGGTGGGTGGGTGAGTGGGTGGGAGAGTGGGTGGGTGAATGAGTGGGTGGGTGGGTGAGTGGGTGGGTGGGTGAGTGGATGGGTGGGTGAGTGGATGGGTGAGTGGGTGGGTGGGTGAGTGGGTGGGAGAGTGGGTGGGTGAGTGAGTGGGTGGGTGGGTGAGTGGGTGGGTGGGTGAGTGGATGGGTGGGTGAGTGGATGGGTGAGTGGGTGAGTGGGTGGGAGAGTGGGTGGGTGAGTGAGTGGGTGGGGTGGGTGAGTGGATGGGTGGGTGAGTGGGTGAGTGAGTGGGTGGGTGATGTGGTATCCATCGTTACACTACACCCACCCACCCACTGACCCCCCCCCCTCACTGTTGCCTAGCAATCAACGCCAGACCGTACCAACAGCACCGTTACCAGAGGGGGGTGCTAAATTAAGATCACCCCAAATGATCTTTTAAACAAAATTCTACTCACACATGTATATCCAACCAAGATATATAACAATAAATTTTGGCATAATAATTTACTAAACTTTCACAGATGTATTAAAATATAATCTTAATTATTTATAACTAATTTACTCAAAGCTCCCCACCCCCACCCCACTCGCTCCACTTGGTAGATTCCACAGCGCCCCGCCCCCTGAAGCCCCGCCCCCTTTTGGGAGAGTCCATAGCAACACAACCGACGAATCTCTATATCTAAAAAAAATGTTTTGTTAAACTTTCATTTTAAAATAATAAGTTAACTTTTATTTTCGCTTAAAAGAAAGAGCGCCACTTCGGGGTGGCCACTGAACGAGTTCCAAGAGCCCTGCTATTTCTATTCACGTGAGTTTTAACGAAAATAAGCGCGCGCGTTGTGATACCGTTTGCGCAGTCAAAAGCCTTTTTGCTACTAGGCCCCCATTGAAATGAATGGGAGCCTCGGTCTCAGTGATTAACATTGGACCCTATGGGAGTCTCAGTGATTAACACTGAACCCTATGGGAGTCTCACTGATTAACACTGAACCCTATGGGAGTCTCAGTGATTAACACTGAACCCTATGGGAGTCTCACTGATTAACATTGAACCCTATGGGAGTCTCACTGTTTAACACTGAACCCTATGGGAGTCTCAGTGATTAACATTGAACCCTATGGGAGTCTCAGTAATTAACACTGAACCCTATGGGAGTCTCAGTGATTAACACTGAACCCTATGGGAGTCTCAGTGATTAACATTGAACCCTATGGGAGTCTCAGTGATTAACATTGAACCCTATGGGAGTCTCAGTGATTAACATTGAACCCTATGGGAATCTCAGTGATTAACACTGAATCCTATGGGAGTCTCACTGATTAACATTGAACCCTATGGGAGTCTCACTGATTAACACTGAACCCTATGGGAGTCTCAGTGATTAACATTGAACCCTATGGGAGTCTCAGTAATTAACACTGAACCCTATGGGAGTCTCAGTGATTAACACTGAACCCTATGGGAGTCTCAGTGATTAACATTGAACCCTATGGGAGTCTCAGTGATTAACATTGAACCCTATGGGAGTCTCAGTGATTAACATTGAACCCAATGGGAGTCTCAGTGATTAACACTGAACCCTATGGGAGTCTCAGTGATTAACACTGAACCCTATGGGAGTCTCAGTGATTAACACTGAACCCTATGGGAGTCTCAGTGATTAACACGGAACCCTATGGGAGTCTCACTGATTAACACTGAACCCTATGGGAGTCTCATGGATTAACACTGAACCCTATGGGAGTCTCATGGATTAACACTGAACCCTATGGGAGTCTCAGTGATTAACACTGAACCCTATGGGAGTCTCACTGATTAACACTGAACCCTATGGGAGTCTCACTGATTAACACTGAACCCTATGGGAGTCTCACTGATTAACACTGAACCCTATGGGAGTCTCAGTGATTAACACGGAACCCTATGGGAGTCTCAGTGATTAACACTGAACCCTATGGGAGTCTCACTGATTAACACTGAACCCTATGGGAGTCTCAGTGATTAACACTGAACCCTATGGGAGTCTCAGTGATTAACACTGAACCCTATGGGAGTCTCAGTGATTAACATTGAACCCTATGGGAGTCCCAGTGATTAACACTGAACCCTATGGGAGTCTCAGTGATTAACACTGAACCCTATGGGAGTCTCAGTGATTAACACTGAACCCTATGGGAGTCTCACTGATTAACATTTAACTCTATGGGAGTCTCAGTGATTAACATTGAACCCTATGGGAGTCTCAGTGATTAACATTGAACCCTATGGGAGTCTCAGTGATTAACACTGAACCCTATGGGAGTCTCAGTGATTAACACTGAACCCTATGGGAGTCTCAGTAATTAACACTGAACCCTATGGGAGTCTCAGTGATTAACACTGAACCCTATGGGAGTCTCAGTGATTAACATTGAACCCTATGGGAGTCTCAGTGATTAACATTGAACCCTATGGGAGTCTCAGTGATTAACACTGAACCCTATGGGAGTCTCAGTGATTAACATTGAACCCTATGGGAGTCTCAGTGATTAACACTGAACCCTGTGGGAGTCTCAGTGATTAACACTGAACCCTAAGGGAGTCTCAGTGATTAACATTGAACCCTATGGGAGTCTCAGTGATTAACACTGAACACTATGGGAGTCTCACTGATTAACATTGAACCCTATGGGAGTCTCAGTGATTAACATTGAACCCTATGGGAGTCTCAGTGATTAACACTGAACCCTATGGGAGTCTCAGTGATTAACACTGAACCCTATGGGAGTCTCACTGATTAACATTGAACCCTATGGGAGTCTCAGTGATTAACACTGAACCCTATGGGAGTCTCAGTGATTAACACTGAACCCTATGGGAGTCTCAGTGATTAACACAGAACCCTATGGGAGTCTCAGTGATTAACACTGAACCCTATGGGAGTCTCAGTGATTAACATTGAACCCTATGGGAGTCTCAGTGATTAACATTGAACCCTATGGGAGTCTCAGTGATTAACACTGAACCCTATGGGAGTCTCAGTGATTAACATTGAACCCTATGGGAGTCTCAGTGATTAACACTGAACCCTATGGGAGTCTCAGTGATTAACACTGAACCCTATGGGAGTCTCAGTAATTAACACTGAACCCTATGGGAGTCTCAGTGATTAACATTGAACCCTATGGGAGTCTCAGTGGTTAACACAGAACCCTATGGGAGTCTCAGTGATTAACACTGAACCCTATGGGAGTCTCAGTGATTAACATTGAACCCTATGGGAGTCTCAGTGATTAACATTGAACCCTATGGGAGTCTCAGTGATTAACACTGAACCCTATGGGAGTCTCAGTGATTAACATTGAACCCTATGGGAGTCTCAGTGATTAACACTGAACCCTATGGGAGTCTCAGTGATTAACATTGAACCCTATGGGAGTCTCAGTGATTAACATTGAACCCTATGGGAGTCTCAGTGATTAACACCGAACCCTATGGGAGTCTCAGTGATTAACATTGAACCCTATGGGAGTCTCAGTGATTAACACTGAACCCTATGGGAGTCTCAGTGATTAACACTGAACCCTATGGGAGTCTCAGTGATTAACACTGAACCCTATGGGAGTCTCAGTGATTAACACCGAACCCTATGGGAGTCTCAGTGATTAACATTGAACCCTATGGGAGTCTCAGTGATTAACACTGAACCCTGAGGGAGCCTTAGTCTGGCTCTGTGAGCCTCAGTGATTAACACTGAACCCTGTGGGAGCCTTAGTCTGGCTCTGTGAGTCACAGTGATTAACACTGAACCCTATGGGAGTCTCAGTGATTAACACACGAACCCTATGCGAGTCTCACTGATTAACATTGAACCCTATGGGAGTCTCAGTGATTAACATTGAACCCTATGGGAGTCTCAGTGATTAACATTGAACCCTATGGGAGTCTCAGTGATTAACACTAAACCCTATGGGAGTCTCAGTGATTAACATTGAACCCTATGGGAGTCTCAGTGATTAACATTGAACCGTATGGGAGTCTCAGTGATTAACATTGAGCCCTATGGGAGTCTCAGTGATTAACACTGAACCCTATGGGAGTCTCAGTGATTAACACTGAACCCTATGGTAGTCTCAGTGATTAACACTGAACCCTATGGGAGACTCAGTGATTAACACTGAACCCTATGGGAGTCTCAGTGATTAACATTGAACCCTATGGGAGTCTCAGTGATTAACACTGAACCCTATGGGAGTCTCAGTGATTAACACTGAACCCTATGGGAGTCTCAGTGATTAACACTGAACCCTTTGGGAGTGTCACTGATTAACACTGTACCCTATAGGAGTCTCAGTGATTAACACTAAGCCCTGTGAGAGTCTCACTGATTAACACTGAACTTTATGGGAGTCTCACTGATTAACACTGAACCCTATGGGAGTCTCAGTGATTAACACCGAACCCTATGGGAGTCTCAGTGATTAACACTGAACCCTATGGGAGTCTGTGATTAACACCGAACCCTATGGGAGTCTCGGTGATTAACATTGAACCCTATGGGAGTCTCAGTGATTAACACTGAACCCTATGGGAGTCTCAGTGATTAATACTGAACCCTATGGGAGTCTCAGTGATTAACACTGAACCCTATGGGAGTCTCGGTGATTAACATTGAACCCTATGGGAGTCTCAGTGATTAACACTGCACCCTATGGGAGTCTCAGTGATTAATACTGAACCCTATGGGAGTCTCAGTGATTAACACTGAACCCTATGGGAGTCTCAGTGATTAATACTGAACCCTGTGGGAGCCTTAGTCTGGCTCAGTGATTAACACTGAACCCTGTGGGAGCCTTATTCTGGCTCTGTGAGTCTCCCCAGTGATTAACACTGAGCCTTGTGGGAGCCTTAGTCTGGCTCTGTGAGCCTCACTGATTAACACTGAACCCTGTGGGAGTCTCAGTGATTAACACTGAACCCTATGGGAGTCTCAGTGATTAACACTGAACCCTATGGGAGTCTCGGTGATTAACACTGAACCCTATGGGAGTCTCAGTGATTAACACTGAACCCTATGGGAGTCTCGGTGATTAACATTGAACCCTATGGGAGTTTCAGTGATTAACATTGAACCCTATGGGAGTCTCAGTGATTAACACTGAACCCTGTGCGAGGGAGCCTTAGTCTGGCTCTGTGAGCCTCACTGAGCCAGACTGTCGCTCCCACAGGAGCGGTGCACGGAACGGTGAAGTAAGGCTGCCCAGGATGCCACTCTTCAGCAGTGCGTTCAGCCCCAAGAAAACCCCACCCAGGAAATCTGCTTCACTCTCCAACCTCCACACGGTGAGACGCTCACCACCACCACCACCACCACGCTCACCACCTCCATCACCACGCTCACCACCACGCTCACCACTACCACCACTACCACCACCACCACCACGCTCACCACCACCACCACACTCACCACCACCACCACTCACCACCCTTACCACCACCACGCTCACCACCACCACCACCACCACGCTCACCACCACGCTCACCACCACCACCACCACGCTCACCACCACCACCACCACCACGCTCACCACCACCACCACCACCACGCTCACCACCACCACCACGCTCACCACCACGCTCACCACCACCGCCACCACGCTCACCATCACCACCACAACGCTCACCACCACCACCACGCTCACCACCTCCACCACCACGCTCACCACCACCACCACCACGCTCACCACCACCACGCTCACCACCACCACCACGCTCACCATCACCACCACAACGCTCACCACCACCACCACCACGCTCACCACCTCCATCACCACGCTCACCACCACCACGCTCACCACCTCCACCACCACGCTCACCACCTCCACCACCACGCTCACCACCACCATGCTCACCACCACCACGCTCACCACCACCACCACGCTCACCACCTCCATCACCACACTCACCACCGCCACGCTCACCACCCTTACCACTCACCACCAAACTCACCCCCACACTCACCACACTTACCACCACCACACTCACCACCACCACACTCACCACCACCACACTCACCACCACTCACCACTTCTACGCTCACTACTTCACTCACCACCACGCTCACCGCCACGCTCACCACTGCTCACCACCACTCACCACACTCACCACCACCACGCTCAACCACTACACTCACCACCACCACTCACCACCCTTATCACCACGCTCACCACTCACCACGCTCACCACTACCACGCTCACCACCCTTACCACCACCACCACACTCACCACACTCACCACCACGCTCACCACTACACTCACCACCACCACCACTACACTCACCACCACTCACCACCCTTACCATCACGCTCACCACTCACCACCACCACACTCACCACTCACCAGCTGGACTACAGCACGCTCACCACTCACCCCTCACCACAATCACCACCACACCACTCACCACGCTCACCACTCACCACGCTCACCCCTCACCACTCACCACGCTCACCAGCTGGACTACAGCATGCTCACCACTCACCCCTCACCACGCTCACCCCTCACCACGCTCACCACACTCACCACCACCACACTCACCCCTCACCACGCTCACCACTCACCCCTCACCACGCTCACCCCTCACCACGCTCACCACTCACCCCTCACCACGCTCACCCCTCACCACACTCACCACTCACCAGCTGGACTACACCACACTCACCCCTCACCACTCACCACACTCACCCCTCACCACTCACCCCTCACCAGCTGGACTACACCACACTCACCCCTCACCACTCACCACACTCACCCCTCACCACTCACCACACTCACCCCTCACCACTCACCACGCTCACCCCTCACCACTCACCACACTCACCACACTCACCCCTCACCACTCACCCCTCACCAGCTGGACTACACCACACTCACCCCTCACCACTCACCACACTCACCCCTCACCACTCACCACGCTCACCCCTCACCACTCACCACGCTCACCCCTCACCACTCACCACACTCACCACACTCACCCCTCACCACTCACCCCTCACCAGCTGGACTACACCACACTCACCCCTCACCACTCACCACACTCACCCCTCACCACTCACCACACTCACCCCTCACCACTCACCACACTCACCCCTCACCACTCACCACGCTCACCCCTCACCACTCACCACACTCACCACACTCACCCCTCACCACTCACCCCTCACCAGCTGGACTACACCACGCTCACCACTCACCACTCACCCCTCACCCCTCACCCCTCACCACTCACCCCTCACCCCTCACCACTCACCCCTCACCACACTCACCACGCTCACCCCTCACCACTCACCCCTCACCACACTCACCACACTCACCACACTCACCACTCTCACCACACTCACCACTCACCCCTCACCACACTCACCACACTCACCACACTCACCACACTCACCACTCTCACCACACTCACCACACTCACCACTCTCACCACTCTCACCACTCTCACCACACTCACCACACTCACCACTCTCACCCCTCACCACACTCACCACACTCACCACTCTCACCACTCTCACCACACTCACCACTCTCACCACACTCACCACACTCACCACACTCACCACACTCACCACTCTCACCACTCTCACCACACTCACCACACTCACCACTCTCACCCCTCACCACACTCACCACACTCACCACACTCACCACACTCACCACACTCACCACACTCACCACACTCACCACACTCACCACACTCACCACACTCACCACACTCACCACACTCACCACACTCACCACACTCACCACACTCACCACACTCACCACTCACCACTCACCACTCACCACTCACCACACTCACCACACTCACCACTCACCCCTCACCACACTCACCACACTCACCACTCTCACCACTCACCACTCACCACACTCACCACACTCACCACACTCACCACACTCACCACTCACCCCTCACCACACTCACCACACACCACTCACCACACTCACCACACTCACCACACTCACCACACTCACCACTCTCACCCCTCACCCCTCACCACACTCACCACACTCACCACACTCACCACACTCACCACACTCACCACACTCACCACACTCACCACTCTCACCCCTCACCACTCACCCCTCACCACACTCACCACACTCACCACACTCACCACTCACCCCTCACCACACTCACCACACTCACCACTCACCACTCACCACACTCACCACACTCACCACACTCACCACACTCACCACTCTCACCCCTCACCCCTCACCACACTCACCACACTCACCACACTCACCACTCTCACCCCTCACCACTCACCACACTCACCACTCTCACCCCTCACCACTCACCAGCTGGACTACAGCACGCGAGCGGTGGAGCTGGGCCTTGACTACGGAGCGCCGTCCGTTACCATCGGCAACCAGAAGCTCGTCTTCCTTGACGACGGGGAGTGGGCAGCCGGTAACCATGGCAACAACAACACCACCATCACCACCACCACAACCACCACAACCACAACCACCACCACCACAACCACCACCACCACAACCACCACCACCACAACCACCACAACCACCACAACCACCACAACCACCACAACCACCACCACCACCACCACCACCACCACCACAACCACCACAACCACCACAACCACCACAACCACCACCACCACAACCACCACCACCACAACCACCACCACCACAACCACCACCACAACCACCACCACCACCACCACCACCACCACCACAACCACCACCACAACCACCACCACCACTACCACCACCACTACCACCACCACTACCACCACCACTACCACCACCACTACCACCACCACTACCACCACCACTACCACCACCACTACCACCACCACCACCACCACCACTACCACCACCATTACCACCACCATTACCACCACCATTACCACCACCATTACCACCACCACCACCACAACCACCACAATCACAACCACCACAATCACAACCACCACAATCACAACCACCACAACAACCACAGCCACCCCCTTCTCCTGTGTGGGTGGGTGAGAGCTCTTGGGTGAGTGTGAGTGAGTGAGTCAGTGAGTGAGTGAGCGAGTGGGTGAGTCAGTGAGTGAGTCTGTGTGTGTGAGCGTGTAGGTGAGTGTGGGTGAGTGAGTGAGCGTGTGGATGAGTCAGTCAGTGTGGGTGAGTCAGTGAGTGAGTGAGCGAGTGAGTCAGTGAGTGAGTGAGCGAGTGGGTGAGTCAGTGAGCGAGTGAGTCTGTGTGGGTGAGGGTGTGGGTGAGTGAGTGGGTGAGTGAGTCTGTGTGAGTGAGTGTGTGTGGGCGAGTCAGTGTGGGTGAGTGGGTGAGTCAGTGGACGAGTGAGCGTGTGAGCATGAGTGAGCGTGTGGGTGAGTCAGTGGACGAGTGAGTGGGTGAGTCAGTCTGTGTGGGTGAGTCAGTGTGAGTGAGCGTGAGTGAGTCAGTGTGCGAGTGAGTGAGTGTGTGGGTGGGTGGGTGAGTGGGTGAGTCAGTGTGAGCGTGAGTGAGCGTGTGGGTGAGTCAGTGAGTGAGCGTGTGGGTGAGTGAATGAGTCAGTGTGTGAGTGTGCGAGCGAGTGAGCGTGTGGGTGAGTCAGTGTGAGTGTGTGGGTGAGTCAGTGTGAGTGTGTGCGAGCGAGTGAGCGTGTGGGTGAGCGAGTCTGTGGGTGAGTCAGTCTGTGTGGGTGAGTCAGTCTGTGTGGGTGAGTCAGTGTGCGAGTGAGTGGGTCTGTGTGGGTGAGTGAGTCAGTGTCAGTGAGTGGGTGAGTCAGTGTGAGTGAGCGTGAGTGAGTGTGCGAGTGGGTGAGTCAGTGTGAGTGTGTGGGTGAGCGTGTGGGTGAGTCAGTCTGTGTGGGTGAGTCAGTGTGAGTGAGCGTGAGTGAGTCAGTGTGAGTGAGCGTGAGTGAGTGTGCGAGTGGGTGAGTCAGTGTGAGTGTGTGGGTGAGCGTGTGGGTGAGTCAGTCTGTGTGGGTGAGTCAGTGTGAGTGAGCGTGAGTGAGTGTGCGAGTGAGTGGGTCTGTGTGGGTGAGTCAGTGTGGGTGAGTGGGCGAGTCAGTGTGTGAGTGAGCGTGTGGGTGAGTGAGTCTGTGTGGGTGAGTGAGTCAGTGTGGGTGAGTGAGTCAGTGTGTGGGTGAGTTAGTGTGAGTGAGCGTGAGTGAGTGGGTGAGTCAGTGTGAGTGTGTGGGTGAGTCAGTGTGAGTGTGTGGGTGAGTCAGTCTGTGTGGGTGAGTCAGTGTGGGTGAGTGTGTGGGTGAGTGGGCGAGTCAGTGTGTGAGTGAGCGTGTGGGTGAGTGAGCGTAGGGGTGAGTGAGTCAGTGTGTGGGTGAGTCAGTGTGAGTGAGCGTGAGTGAGTGGGTGAGTCAGTGTGCGAGTGAGCGTGTGGGTGAGTCAGTGTGGGTGAGTGGATGAGTCAGTGTGAGCGTGCGGGTGAGTGGATGAGTCAGTGTGCGAGGGTGTTCGAGCAGGTGAGCGAGTCTGTGTGGGTGAGTCAGTCTGTGTGAGTGAGTGAGTCTGTGTGGGTGAGTGAGTCAGTGTGTTGGGTGAGTGAGTCTGTGTGGGTGAGTGGGTGAGTCAGTGTGAGTGAGTGGGTGAGTGAGTGAGTGGGTGGGTGGGTGGGTGAGTGGGTGAGTGAGTGTGTGGGTGAGCCAGTCTGTGTGGGTGAGTGAGTCCGTGTGGGTGAGTGGGTGAGTCAGTCTGTGTGGGTGAGTGTGTCGGTGAGTGAGTCTGTGTGGGTGAGTGGGTGAGTGTGTGGGTGAGTGGGTGAGTCAGTGTGCGAGTGAGTGAGCGTGTGGGTGAGTGAGTCTGTGTGGGTTAGTGGGTGAGTCAGTGTGGGTGAGTCAGTGTGGGTGAGTCAGTGTGGGTGAGTGGGCGAGTCAGTGTGTGAGTGAGCGTGTGGGTGAGTGGGTGAGTGAGTGTGTGGGTGAGTGGGTGAGTCAGTGTGCGAGTGAGCATGAGTGGGTGAGTCAGTGTGCGAGTGAGTGAGCGTGTGGGTGAGTGGGTGAGTCAGTGTGAGTGAGCGTGTGGGTGAGTCAGTGTGGGTGAGTGGGTGAGCATGTGGGTGAGTCAGTCTGTGTGGGTGAGTCAGTGTGAGCGTGAGGGTGAGTGAGTCAGTGTGGGAGTGAGCGAGTGGGTGAGTGGGTCAGTGTAGTGGGTGAGTCAGTGTGAGTGAGCGTGAGTGAGTCAGTGTGCGAGTGAGCGTGTGGGTGAGTGAGTCAGTGTGTGGGTCAGTGTGAGTCAGTGTGGGTAAGCATGTGGGTGAGTCAGTGTGAGCATGAGGGTGAGTGAGTCAGTGTGGGAGTGAGCGAGTGGGTGAGTGGGTCAGTGTAGTGGGTGAGTCAGTGTGAGCGTGAGTGGGTGAGTCAGTGTGAGGGTGAGTGAGTCAGTGTGCGAGTGAGTAAGCGTGTGGGTGAGTGAGTCTGTGTGGGTGAGTGGGTGAGTCAGTGTGGGTGAGTCAGTGTGGGTGAGTGGGTGAGTCAGTATGGGTGAGTCAGTCTGTGTGGGTTAGTGGGTGAGTCAGTGTGAGCGTGAGTGAGTGAGTCAGTGTGCGGGTGAGTGGGTGAGTGAGTGAGCATGTGGGTGAGTCAGTCTGTGTGGGTGAGTGGGTGAGTCAGTGTGAGCGTGTGGGTGAGTGGGTCAGTGTAGTGGGTGAGTGGGTGTGAGGGTGAGTGGGTGAGTTGGTGAGTGGGTGAGTTGGTGAGCGGGTGGGTGAGTTGGTGAGCGGGTGGGTGAGCGACTGAGTCTCCTGCTCACCACCCCTCCTCCCCCGTAGAGTCTGTGGGTGGTGGTGGTGCTGCTGCTGGTGGTGGCGCTGCGTTAAAGCGGCTGGAGCAACGTAACCACAGCCTGGAGGAGGAGAACTTCCTCCTCAAGTTGAAGCTCACCCTGCTGATGGACATGGTGAGTGGGTGGGTGGGTGAGTGGGTGGGTGGGTGAGTGGGTGGGTGGGTGGGTGAGTGGGTGAGTGGGTGGGTGGGTGAGTGGGTGAGTGGGTGGGTGGGTGTGTGGGTGAGTGGGTGGGTGGGTGTGTGGGTGAGTGGGTGATTGAGTGGGTGATTGAGTGAATGGATGAGTGAGTGGATGAGTGAATGTGTGGGTGGGTGAATGTGTGGGTGGGTGAATGGGTGAGTGAATGTGTGGGTGGGTGGGTGAGTGGGTGGGTGAGTGGGTGAGTGAATGTGTGGGTGGGTGAGTGGGTGAATGTGTGGGTGAGTGGGTGAATGTGTGGGTGGGTGGGTGAGTGGGTGGGTGAGTGGGTGAGTGAATGTGTGGGTGGGTGAGTGAATGTGTGGGTGGGTGAATGTGTGGGTAAGTGGGTGAATGAATGTGTGGGTGGGTGAGTGAGTGGATGATTGAGTGGGTGGGTGAGTGAATGTGTGGGTAAGTGGGTGAGTGAATGTGTGGGTGGGTGAATGAATGTGTGGGTGGGTGAGTGAGTGGATGATTGAGTGGGTGAGTGGATGAGTGGGTGGGTGGGTGAATGTGTGGGTGGGTGTGTGGGTAACTCTCTCTCCCCCACTCTACCCCCCCCTCTCTCCCAGCTGTGCGAGTCAACAGCAGACTCTCAGCACCTGGAGAGACAGCTTGCACGGCTTAAGTCACGATCCAAGGAGGCACGCAGATAACGGGGTGTGTGGGTGGGTGGGGAGGTGGGTGATGGGTGTGTGGGTGGGGAGGTGGGTGAGTGGGTGGGGTGAGTGGGTGGGTGGAGAGGTGGGTGAGTAGGTGGATGGGGAGGTGGGTGGATGAGTAGGTTGGTGGGTGAGTGAGTGGGTGAGGAGGTGGGTGGGTGAGTGAGTAGGTTGGTGGGTGGGTGGATGGGTGAGTAGGTGGGTGAGTGGGTGGATGGGTGAGTAGGTTGGTGAGTGGGTGGATGGGTGAGTAGGTGGATGGGTGAGTAGGTGGGTGAGTAGGTGGGTGAGTGGGTGGATGGGTGAGTAGGTTGGTGAGTGGGTGGATGGGTGAGTAGGTGGATGGGTGAGTAGGTGGGTGAGTGGGTGGGTGAGTAGGTGGGTGAATGGGTGAGTGAGTGGGTGGATGGGTGAGGTGGGTGAATAGGTTGGTGGGGAGGTGGGTGAGTGGGTGGGTGAGTAGGTGGATGGGTTGGTTGGTGGGTGGTGGTGGTGGTTGTTGTTGGTTGTTGACATAAATTCATTTTATTCCACTCGTGTTGTTTTGTGGTTGTGTCACACACCAAATAAAGACAATGCTCCCCCAGGTAGCCTCTAGCAGGGCTGTAGGGGCAAGTGCTGTTAGCTAGCGAGTAGCAGCAGCAGTGTCTATGTACTACACACACCACACACACAGACAAAGCTCCCCCAGGTAGCCTCTAGCAGGGCTGTAGGGGCAAGTGCTGTTAGTAGCGAGTAGCAGCAGCAGTGTCTATGTACTACACACACCACACACACCACACAAAGCTCCCCCAGGTAGCCTCTAGCAGGGCTGTAGGGGCAAGTGCTCTTAGCGAGTAGCGGCACCTTTGAAGGCCGGTGTGGGTGGCCAGGACCACGCCCGGCCACCTTCGTCTCTCCTCCAGTGCTAGCGATGGTCACTGCACCACCACCGCTACGCCAGGTACTCATTTGAGGCTGAGTAGACCTAGGGGAGGCCCAGGACCGGTTCAGATAACTGTGACTGGTGGTGTTGGCCGTGAGCGGGAATCGAACTCAGCTCGACCGGGTTCTTAGCGCTGCGTAGCGCTAACCACTACACTCACCCACCCACTCACTCACCCACTAACCCACTCACTCACCCACCCACTCACTCACCCACCCACTCACTCACCCACTAACCCACTCACTCACCCACCCACTCACTCACCCACCCACTCACTCACCCACTAACCCACTCACTCACCCACCCACTCACTCACCCACCCACCCACTCACCCACCAACCCACTCACCCACCCACTCACCCATACACTCACCATACACTCACCCACTCACCCATACACTCACCCACCCACCCACTTACCCACCCACTCACCCACCCACTCAACTCACCCACCCACCCACTTACCCACCCACTCACCCACCCACTAACCCACTCACCCACCCACTAACCCACTCATCCACCCACTAACCCACCCACCCACTCAATCACTCACCCACCCACTCACCCACCCACTCACTCACTCACCCACTCACTCACCCACCCACCCACCCCACGTGTATGCCAAACGCTTTATTACGACCCGCAGTGAAACTCTCAGCGTGGCTGACTGTCCCCGATGTTTCCTCGTCAGCACAGCAATTGCAGTTGCAAGCAACCTTATTTGCTTGCAACCTCAGTTGCCTGCAATTTCATTTGCTTGCAACCTCGGCATTTGCTTGCAACCTCGGTTGATTGCAACCCTCAGTTGCAAGCAACTTCCCCCCCCCCCCTTCCCCCCGATCGACAGACGGACAAACAGACAGAATAGACAAATAGATCAATAGATTAATTGACAGTCGAGCAATAGACAAACAGATCAATGGACAGACGAATAGGGAGATTAATAGACAAATAGATCAATACACTGATCAAATACCGATCAATAGATCAATAGTACGGACAGGCGGATGAATAGACAGGTCAAAGCCGAAGCCTGGCCAGGCCTAGGAAGGCCTAAACAAGACCTGGCCAGGCCTAGGATGGCCTAAGTGAAGCCTGGCCAGGCCTAGGAAGGCCTAAACAAGACTTGGCCAGGCCTAGGAAGCCCTAAGCGAAGCCTGGCCAGGCCGAGGAAGGCCTAAACAAGGCCAGGCCTAGGAAGGCCTAAACAAGACCTGGCCAGGCCTAGGATGGCCTAAGTGAAGCCTGGCCAGGCCTAGGAAGGCCTAAACAAGACCTGGCCAGGCCTAGGAAGGCCTAAGTGAAGCCTGGCCAGGCCTAGGAAGGCCTAAACAAGACCTGGCCAGGCCTAGGAAGGCCTAAACAAGACCTGGCCAGGCCTAGGATGGCCTAAGTGAAGCCTGGCCAGGCCTAGGATAGCCTAAGTGAAGCCTGGCCAGGCCTAGGGAGGCCTAAACAAGACCTGGCCAGGCCTAGGAAGGCCTAAGTGAAGCCTGGCCAGGCCTAGGAAGGCCTAAGTGAAGCCTGGCCAGGCCGAGGAAGGCCTAAACAAGGCCAGGCCTAGGAAGGCCTAAACAAGACCTGGCCAGGCCTAGGATGGCCTAAGTGAAGCCTGGCCAGGCCTAGGAAGGCCTAAACAAGACCTGGCCAGGCCTAGGAAGGCCTAAGTGAAGCCTGGCCAGGCCTAGGAAGGCCTAAACAAGACCTGGCCAGGCCTAGGAAGGCCTAAACAAGACCTGGCCAGGCCTAGGATGGCCTAAGTGAAGCCTGGCCAGGCCTAGGATAGCCTAAGTGAAGCCTGGCCAGGCCTAGGGAGGCCTAAACAAGACCTGGCCAGGCCTAGGAAGGCCTAAGTGAAGCCTGGCCAGGCCTAGGAAGGCCTAAGTGAAGCCTGGCCAGGCCTAGGAAGGCCTAAACAAGACCTGGCCAGGCCTAGGAAGGCCTAAACAAGACCTGGCCAGGCCTAGGATGGCCTAAGTGAAGCCTGGCCAGGCCTAGGAAGGCCTAAACAAGACTTGGCCAGGCCTAGGAAGCCCTAAGCGAAGCCTGGCCAGGCCGAGGAAGGCCTAAACAAGGCCAGGCCTAGGAAGGCCTAAACAAGACCTGGCCAGGCCTAGGATGGCCTAAGTGAAGCCTGGCCAGGCCTAAGAAGGCCTGAGTGAAGCCTGGCCAGGCCTAGGAAGGCCTAAACAAGACCTGGCCAGGCCTAGGAAGGCCTAAACAAGACCTGGCCAGGCCTAGGGAGGCCTAAACAAGACCTGGCCAGGCCTAGGAAGGCCTAAACAAGACCTGGCCAGGCCTAGGAAGGCCTAAGTGAAGCCTGGCCAGGCCTAGGAAGGCCTAAGTGAAGCCTGTCCAGGCCTAGGAAAGCCTAAGCAAGACCTGGCCAGGCCTAGGAAGGCCTAAACAAGACCTGGCCAGGCCTAGGAAGGCCTAAGTGAAGCCTGGCCAGGCCTAGGGAGGCCTAAACAAGACCTGGCCAGGCCTAGGAAGGCCTAAACAAGACCTGGTCAGGTCTAGGAAGGCCTAAGTGAAGCCTGGCCAGGCCTAGGAAGGCCTAAACAAGACCTGGCCAGGCCTAGGAAGGCCTAAACAAGACCTGGCCAGGCCTAGGAAGGCCTAAGTGAAGCCTGGCCAGGCATAGGAAGGCCTAAACAAGACCTGGCCAGGCCTAGGAAGGCCTAAAAGAAGCCTGGCCAGGCCTAGGAAGGCCTAAGCAAGACCTGGCCAGGCCTAGGAAGGCCGAAGTGAAGCCTGGCCAGGCCTAGGAAGGCCTAAGTGAAGCCTGGCCAGGCCTAGGAAGGCCTAAAGCCTGACCAGGCCTAGGAAGGCCTAAGTGAGGCCTAATCGAGGCCTCGGTAAAGCCGGGGCAGGCCGCCTTCCTAGGACACAGCAAAACACTTTTAAGAGCCAATCAGAGGGAGGGCCCCACTTAGGAGGCCTGGCTAGGCCTATATAGGCCTAGGTCACAAAACAATTTAACAGCAATCAGAGGGGCCCCTTGGGAGGCCTGGCGCGACCTACGGCGGAGTCTTTGGAGAAATCAGAGGGGCCTGGGGTAGGCCTAGGCAAGCCATGGGCGAGGCCTACGCACGCCTAGGTCACGAAACAATTTAAGAGCAATCAGAGGGGCCCCCTGCGGAGGCCTGGACAGGCCTAGGGAGAGGTCTACGGGAGAGGCCACAGAGGCCTAGCGAAGCCTGGCCAGGCATTTCCTAGGCCTATGCAGGTCAAGGGCAAAACAACTTAAGAGCAATCTGAAGTGGCCCTTTTTGTAGGTTTGGCGAGGTCCTGGCAAAGCCCTAGGAAGGGCCGGTGAGGCCTAGGACGGGCTGGTAAGGCCTAGGACGGGCTGGTTAGGCCTAGGAAGAGCTGGTGAGGCCTAGGACGGGCTGGTAAGGCCTAGGACGGGCTGGTTAGGCCTAGGAAGGGCTGGCGAGGCCTAGGACGGGCTGGTAAGGCCTAGGACGGGCTGGTAAGGCCTAGGAAGGGCTGGCGAGGCCTAGGAAAGCCGGGCGAGGCCAAGGAAAGCCGGGCGAGGCCTAGGACGGCCTGGCTAGGCCTACGAAGGTCTGGCAAGGCTTTGGATAAGTTGGTGAGGCCTACGAAGGCCCTGAGAGGCCTAGGAAAGCTGGGCGAGGCCTAGGATGGCCTGGCTAGGCCTACGAAGGTCTGGCAAGGCTTAGGTTAAGTTGGTGAGGCCTACGAAGGCCTTGAGAGGCCTAGGAAAGCCGGGCGAGGCCTAGGACAGCCTGGCTAGGCCTACGAAGGTCTGGCAAGGCTTAGGATAAGTTGGTGAGGCCTACGAAGGCCTGGCGAGGCCTAGAAAAGCCTGGCGAGGCCTAGGACGGCCTGGCTAGGCCTATGAAGGTCTGGCAAGGCTTAGGATAAGTTGGTGAGGCCTACGAAGGCCTGGCGAGGCCTAGGAAAGCCTGGCGAGGCCTAGGAAAGTCTGGCGAGGCCTAGGACGGCCTGGCTAGGCCTAGGAGGGGTATGAGAGGCCTTGCGAGGCCCGGGCAACGGGGCTATATTTTGTCGTCGGTCATCTCGAGGAACTGGGCGTAGACGTCTCGGCTGCACTCCCCCTTGTGGTTGAACTGGAACTTGTAGTAGGTGCCATCAGCACAGATAGCTACACAGGGGGAGAGACACTACGGGTTGGAGTGGGTGGGTGAGTGGGTGGGTGAGTGGGTGGGTGGGTGAGTGGGTGAGTGGGTGGGTGGGTGAGTGAGTGAGTGGGTGGGTGAGTGAGTGAGTGGGTGAGTGAGTGGGTGAGTGAGTGGGTGGGTGAGTGAGTGGGTGAGTGAGTGGGTGAGTGAGTGGGTGAGTGGGTGGGTGAGTGGGTGAGTGAGTGAGCGGGTGGGTGAGTGAGTGAGCGGGTGGGTGAGTGAGTGGGCGGGTGAGTGGGTGGGTGAGTGGGTGGGTGGGTGGGTGAGTGAGTGAGTGAGTGGGTGAGTGAGTGAGTGGGTGATTGAGAGGGTGAGTGAGTGGGAGGGTGGGTGAGTGAGTGGGTGAGTGAGTGAGTGGGTGAGTGGGTGAGTGAGTGGGTGAGTGAGTGGGTGAGTGAGTGAGTGAGTGGATGAGTGAGTGGGTGATTGAGAGGGTGAGTGAGTGGGTGAGTGGGTGAGTGAGTGGGTGAGTGAGTGAGTGGGTGAGTGGGTGAGTGAGTGAGTGGGTGAGTGAGTGGGTGAGTGGGTGAGTGAGTGGGTGAGTGAGTGGGTGAGTGAGTGGGTGAGTGAGTGGGTGAGTGGGTGGGTGAGTAGGTGGGTGAGTAGGTGGGTGAGTGAGTGGGTGGGTGAGTGAGTGGGTGAGTGAGTGGGTGGGTGGGTAGGTGAGTGGGTGAGTGAGTGAGTGGGTGAGTGAGTGGGTGAGTGAGTGGGTGGGTGAGTAGGTGGGTGAGTGAGTGGGTGGGTGAGTGAGTGGGTGAGTGAGTGGGTGAGTGAGTGGGTGGGTGGGTGGGTGAGTGGGTGAGTGGGTGGATGGGTGGGTGAGTGAGTGAGTGGGTGAGTGAGTGGGTGAGTGAGTGAGTGGGTTGGTGGGTGAGTGGGTGAGTGAGTGGGTGGGTGAGTGGGTGGGTGAGTGGGTGGGTGAGTGGGTGAGTGAGTGGGTGAGTGGGTGGGTGAGTGGGTGAGTGAGTGAGTGGGTGAGTGAGTGGGTGAGCGAGTGAGTGGGTGAGTGAGTGGGTGAGTGGGTGGGTGAGTGAGTGGGTGAGTGGGTGGGTGGGTGAGCGGGTGGGTGAGTGGGTGAGTGGGTGGGTGGGTGAGTGAGTGGGTGAGTGGGTGAGTGGGTGGGTGAGCGGGTGGGTGAGTGGGTGAGTGAGTGAGCGGGTGTGTGAGTGGGTGGGTGGGTGAGTGAGTGAGTGAGTGGGTGAGTGGGTGGGTGAGTGAGTGGGTGGGTGGGTGGGTGAGTGGGCGGGTGAGTGGGCAGGTGAGTGGGCGGGTGAGTGGCTGAGTGAGTGGGTAGGTGAGTGAGTAGGTGGGTGAGTGTAGGTGGGTAGGTGAGTGAGTAGGTGAGTGAGTGGGTAGGTGAGTGAGTAGGTGGGTGAGTGTAGGTGGGTGAGTGTAGGTGGGTGAGTAGGTGGGTAGGTGAGTAGGTGGGTGAGTGAGTAGGTGGGTGAGTGTGTAGGTGAGTGAGTGAGTAGGTGGGCGAGTAGGTGGGTGAGTGAGTGAGTGGGTAGGTGAGTAGGTGGGTGAGTGTAGGTGGGTAGGTGAGTGTGTGGGTAGGTGAGTGAGTGTGTAGGTAGGTGAGTGTGTAGGTGGGTAGGTGAGTGTGTAGGTAGGTGAGTGTGTGGGTAGGTGAGTGTGTGGGTGGGTGGGTGAGTGTGTGGGTAGGTGAGTGAGTGAGTGAGTAGGTGGGTGAGTGTGTGTGTAGGTGGGTGAGTGTGTGTGTAGGTGGGTGAGTGTGTAGGTGAGTGTGTGGGTAGGTGAGTGTGTGGGTAGGTGAGTGAGTAGGTGGGTGGGTGAGTGTGTGGGTGGGTGGGTGAGTGTGTAGTTGGGTGAGTGTGTGTGTAGTTGGGTGAGTGTGTGTGTAGGTGGGTGAGTGTGTAGGTGGGTGAGTGTGTGGGTGGGTGAGTGAGTGGGTAGGTGAGTGTGTGGGTAGGTGAGTGTGTAGGTGGGTGGGTGAGTGTGTAGGTGGGTTCGTGAGTGAGTAGGTGGGTGAGTGAGTGTGTAGGTGGGTAGGTGAGTGTGTAGGTGGGTGGTTGAGTGTGTAGGTGAGTGTGTGGGTAGGTGAGTGAGTGTGTGAGTGTGTAGGTAGGTGAGTGTGTAGGTGGGTGGGTGAGTGTGTGGGTGGGTGGGTGAGTGTGTGGGTAGGTGAGTGTGTGGGTAGGTGAGTGAGTAGGTGGGTGGGTGAGTGTGTGGGTGGGTGAGTGTGTGGGTGGGTGAGTGTGTGTGTAGGTGGGTGAGTGTGTGTGTAGGTGGGTGAGTGTGTGGGTGGGTGAGTGTGTGTGTAGGTGGGTGAGTGTGTGCGTGGGTGAGTGTGTGGGTAGGTGAGTGTGTGGGTAGGTGAGTGAGTAGGTGGGTGAATGTGTGTGTAGTTGGGTGAGTGTGTGGGTGGGTGAGTGTGTGTGTAGGTGGGTGAGTGTGTGGGTGGGTGGGTGAGTGTGTGGGTAGGTGAGTGTGTAGGTGGGTGAGTGTGTGGGTAGGTGAGTGTGTGGGTGGGTGAGTGTGTGGGTAGGCGAGTGAGTAGGTGGGTGGGTGAGTGTGTGGGTAGGTGAGTGTGTAGGTAGGTGAGTGTGTAGGTGGGTGGGTGAGTGTGTGGGTGGGTGGGTGAGTGTGTGGGTAGGTGAGTGTGTGGGTGGGTGGGTGAGTGTGTGGGTGGGTGGGTGAGTGTGTGGGTAGGTGAGTGTGTGGGTAGGTGGGTGAGTGTGTGGGTGGGTAGGTGAGTGAGTAGGTGGGTGGGTGAGTGTGTGGGTGGGTGGGTGAGTGAGTAGGTAGGTGGGTGAGTGTGTGGGTAGGTGAGTGTGTGGGTAGGTGAGTGAGTAGGTGGGTGAGTGTGTAGGTGAGTGAGTGTGTAGGTGGGTGGGGGAGTGGGTGAGTGGGTGGGTGGGTGAGTGTGTGGGTGGGTGAGTGTGTGGGTAGGTGAGTGTGTGGGTAGGTGAGTGAGTAGGTGGGTGAGTGTGTAGGTGAGTGAGTGTGTAGGTGGGTGGGTGAGTGGGTGAGTGGGTGGGTGAGTGTGTGGGTGGGTGGGTGAGTGTGTGGGTGGGTGAGTGGGTGAGTGTGTGGGTGGGTGAGTGTGTGGGTGGGTGGGTGAGTGTGTGGGTAGGTGAGTGTGTGGGTAGGCGAGTGAGTAGGTGGGTGGGTGAGTGTGTGGGTAGGCGAGTGAGTGGGTGGGTGAGTGTGTGGGTGGGTGAGTGTGTGGGTGGGTGGGTGAGTGGGTGGGTGAGTGTGTGGGTGGGTGAGTGTGTGTGTGTGTAGGTGAGTGTGTGGGTAGGTGAGTGTGTGGGTGGGTGAGTGTGTGGGTAGGTGAGTGTGTAGGTGGGTGGGTGAGTGTGTGGGTGGGTGAGTGTGTGGGTAGGTGAGTGAGTAGGTGGGTGGGTCGTGGTACTCACCGATGACGGAGTTCTGTTCACTGCCGAAGGCACAGAGGCAGTGTGATGCGGTGGGGATTTGGAAGCGTGAGAAGCTCCACTTGGAGCTGAAGTACTTGGGGAGAAAACTCGCGGATGCCAGGCTAGAGACACACAGGGAGACAGAGACACAGAGACACACAGAGACACAGAGACAGTGAGACACACATAGAGACACACACAGAGACACACAGAGACACACAGAGAGACAGAGACACAGAGACACACAGAGACACAGAGACAGTGAGACACACATAGAGACACACAGAGACACACAGAGACACACAGAGAGGCACAGAGACACAGAGAGACAGTGAGACACACATACAGAGACATACAGAGACACACAGAGACACACACAGAGGCACAGAGAGACACACAGAGACACACACAGAGACAGTGAGACACAGAGAGACACAGAGAGACACAGAGAGACACACAGAGAGACACAGAGAGACACAGAGACAGTGAGACACACATACAGAGACACACAGAGACACACAGAGACACACATAGAGACAGAGACATACACAGAGACACACAGAGAGACACAGAGACACACACAGAGACACACAGAGACACAGAGACACAGAGAGACACAAATAGAGACACACAGAAACACACATAGAGACACAGAGAGACACACACAGAGACACACAGAGACAGAGACACAGACAGAGAGGCACACAGAGACACACACAGAGACACACATAGAGACAGAGACATACATAGAGACACACATAGAGACAGAGACATACATAGAGACACACAGAGGCACACACAGAGACACACATAGAGACAGAGACATACATAGAGACACACAGAGACACACACAGAGACACACAGAGACACACATAGAGACACAGATAGAGACACACAGAGACACAGACAGACACACAGAGACACAGAGAGACACACAGAGACACACACAGAGACACACACAGAGACACAAATAGAGACACACAGAGACACACATAGAGACAGAGACATACACAGAGACACACAGAGAGACACACACAGAGAACACAGACACAGAGAGACACACATAGAGACACACAGAGACACAGAGAGACACACAGAGACACAGAGAGACACACAGAGAGACACACAGAGACACAGATACATAGACAGAGAGGCACAGAGATACAGAGAGACACACAGAGACAGAGACATACAGAGACATAGAGACACACAGAGAGACAGAGAGACACACACAGAGACACACAGAGACACACAGAGACACAGATAGAGACAGAGACACAGAGACACACAGAGAGACACAGAGAGACACAGAGACAGTGAGACACAGAGACAGTGAGACACAGAGACACACACATAGAGACACACAGAGAGACAGAGAGACACACACAGAGACACACAGAGACACAGAGACACAAACAGAGAGGCACAGACAGAGACACACAGACAGAGACACAGACAGAGACAGACAGAGACACAGACAGAGACACAGAGACACAGACAGAGACACAGACAGACAGAGACACAGAGACACAGAGAGACACACAGAGAGATACACAGAGACAGAGTGAGACAGAGACAGTGAGACACAGAGACAGTGAGACACAGACACACGCACAGAGACACAAACACAGAGAGACACAGAGAGACACAGTGAGACACAGAAACACACAGAGACAGTGAGACAGAGACAGTCACAGAGACACATAGACACACAGAGAGACACAGAAACAAAGACAGAGAGAGAGACACGGGGAGAGAAAGACACAGAGACAGACAGAGACAGACAGAGACACAGAGACAGACAGAGACAGACACAGGCACAGAGACAGACACAGACAGAGACACAGAGACAGACAGAGACAGACACAGACAGAGACACACAGACAGAGACAGAGCGAGGCACACAGACAGAGACAGACAGAGACAGACAGAGACACAGAGAGACACACAGAGACACAGACACAGAGACAGAGAGACACACACACAGAGACACACAGACAGAGCGAGACAGAGACACACAGACAGAGACACACAGACAGAGACACACAGACAGAGACAGAGCGAGACACACAGACAGAGACACAGAGACACACAGACAGAGACACAGAGACACACACACAGAGACACAGAGACACACAGAGACACACACACAGAGACACACACACACAGAGACACAGAGACACAGAGACACACAGACAGAGACACAGAGACACACACACAGAGACACAGAGACACACACACAGAGACAGAGACACAGACACAGAGACAGAGAGACACACACACACAGAGACACAC